CAGGTTGTTATTAAAGATTATGCCTGAGAGCCAAAATAAAATATTATTTGTACACAGTCTGGGGAAATCCAAAATGTTTTCTGTGGCCAACATTCACTCAAAGACATTCAGATTTTGTTTAACGGATTACAGAAAATAAATTATTAAGTAAGAAAGTAGGAAAAATCCAGAATCTGAAGTCATGGTAACTAAGTAAAACTGAACTCTTGTCAACAACCTCTTCCAACTCCACCAATTCCCAAATGAGATTCTCTACCATTTATAGGAGTGTTGGGGCATTTTTCTTTTGCATTCAGAAGGTATTAACTATGAGTCTTCATATCACCCATGCCGAGAACTTAATCAGTCAGTAGTTTTCTTTGTAGTTTTTGGAAAGAGGTTCTGTAAACAAACCTTTGGTTATAGTGCTTAGAAGCTGTGTTTGTCAATACTGTGTCCCTGGCACCTAGAACAAATTAATAAATAAATAAATCTGTCTCATAAATACCTATTCATACTGTAGATGAAAAATGACAAATAAACTGGATTCAAGAGTCTTCATTGAAAGTTGATATTTACTACTAACATAGTATGATAATAAAATTGTTAATTAATTGAATCAACTCAAAATTATTAATAAAATTTTGTGAGAAATAATACTTATTTTTTGTCAAGAAGGGAAATTCTGACTTCTGCATATTTTCCCTGTGCGAATGACTATGTCACTATCTTGGTATAACGTATTGTTTAAAGGGTGTTAATAGATTTATTTTTAAATAACTTTAGTGACCAGATGTCCTGCTATAGACTACATAAAATATTTTACATTTGCTAAGATATGTTTAATAAGAAAGATAAAAGGTTTATGTGACGTTTTTACTTGGTTTTGTATCTTTCATCTGAGGATGTAAATACTTAGGCACTAAAGGGAAATTATGCTTAGACATGGAAATTGATTTTTTATTTCTTTTAATTTCATATATCTTGGATAAGTATATTCAGTACTGTTATAAAATAAATGGTATTATCCCATTTTGTTTTCTTCTAATACATTTTTCAAGTGAATTTAGGTTTCATTTTTAACTAATTTCATTTTAAACTATTACTTTTGTTATTTAGCTTGACAAACTTACAGCATGCCGTACCAATGTAAATCTGTTATTGTTTTATGTCATTTGAAATCTAAGTGTTTTATCACTAATTAGAGAATTAATATCTAATGATTTTAAAATTTATGTAGCGATGCTTAAATAAAAATGGAAAAATAAAATAATGAGGGCAACTGAAAGGAACTGTTTCTTTTTTTTTTAAATCGGAACTCTGAGGTTGATAAACTTATTATTAAGTCATGTGTTTATTGAGGAGCCCTGATAGTGCAGTGGTTAAGAGCTATGGCTGCTGACCAAAAGGTCGGCAGTTCGAATCCACCAGCTGCTCCTTGGAAACCCTGAGGGACAGTTCTCCTCTCTCCTGTAGGGTCTTTTTTTTTTTTTGGTGTTTTTTGACATTAGGGCCAATTTTTTTTTTGTAGAAAGACAAAGTGTAGGGGGAGTGTTGGGTTTTCTTTTTCTTTTCCTGTAAGAGGTACATATAAGAGGAAGAGAAGAGAAACATGTAAATTCCTTTTCTGAGCTTAGATACTTTGGGGGAAGATATACATACATATATATACATATATATATATATATATGTATATATATGTCTTCTATTTATTCATTCATTTAATACGTTAGTATTGAGCATCCGTCAAGTGGTAGACATCAGGTTGAGCACTTGGAGTGTATCATCACAAGGAAAGACTGACAACATTAGCTGCCAATGATGAAATTCGAGCTTTAAAACAAAAATTAGACTTTTGGAAAACTTACCTGCTACAATGAGCTTGACAGCTTCCCAGTGCTTAAAGATTTTTCTGATGAGATTGGAAGTGATACCTAATGTGTTCGTATAATGAATGGTGTTAACATTTAGAAGGCCGGTATAACTTAGTAAACCTGTATTTTTCTAATGATGAGTACAAGATGTTACAAAACCATACATGGTGTAAAAGAGTCATTCAAAGTGCAGTATAGACCAGTGGATTTTCATTAATGCAGTTTCAAATTCCACATTGCAGCTAACCTTTTAGAAACTCCCACTTGTTGAATTCTGGTGTAGTATCAAAGAAGGATTTTCTTAACTACCTGAAAAGGCTATTAAAATACTCTGCCCTTTTCCAGCTCCATATCTGTGTGAGCCAGATTTTCTTCCTATATTTCAACAAAAACAACATACTGCAACAGATTGAATGCAGAAGCAGATATGAGAATCCAGCTGTCTTGAATTAAGCCAGACTTTTTTGCAAAAATGTAAAGCAGTACTGCTCTTCTCATGAATTTTTTTTTTGTTTTAGAAAACAGTTATTTTTATGAAAATGTTGTTTGTGTTATATGTAGTGAGTTTATTGCTGTTATTTTTAAATGAAGTAATGAAAATTTAAGGTTTTTCTTAGGGTCAATTTCTAATACAGTAAATATTGATATAATCTACATACACAAAAACTCTTTGTGGTTCTCAGTAGTACTTAAGAGTCTAAAGAAGTTCTGCTATGAAAAAGTTGAGGAATTACTGAGTCAGAGGAATGATTATATATCTGAAATATAGTATATGTTGGTGAGATTTTTGGAGAGTTTTACATTTTCTGCTAAGAGACTTGTACTTTACCCTAAACAGTAAGGAGTCGCAGACTATTTTTGAGCAGAAAAGTGGTACATATATAAATAAGATTAACCTGCAGGTGATAGATGCATAGAATGGGGGAGGGAGGGCGGGCAGGCACAGAACATTAGCAGAAGTGCTTATGTAAGGTCTTAAGGGCCTACTTTAGGTTAGGCTGGAGTCCCTCAGCCTAAGCTAAAGTAGGCCCTTAAGACATGTGCTTGGCTGCTAACTGAAAAGTTGGAAGTTCAAGTCTACCTAGAGGCGACTCAGGGGAAGGCCCTGGCCATCTACTTCCAAAAAATCAGCCATTGAAAACCCTATGGAGTGTCGTTCTATTCTGACACACATGGGGCTGCCACGAGTTGGAGTTAACTTGATGGCAACTGGTTGATTAGATTGGGCTAAACGAGAGTGACTGGTGAAGGCAGCATTGACCTGCAACTGATGGGAGAGGAGAGGGCAGTCAGATGTCAGGCCTGGGCTTAGTTAACTAGGCATCCAGAGAAGAAGCTGATTTATAGAGAAAGTTGGACTGTTTGCAATTTTTTGTGGTTCTGTGATGAGTATTTAATATAAAATAGCCAGATAGAAAATTCAGTAGAGAACTGAAAATTGAGACCAGAGTAGCCTTTCAGCTCTTGTGGTATCATGGAGCCACCCCTGTTGCTTAAAAGTTAGAGAAACCTAGTGTGTTAATAATAATAGACACATGACTGATCCCCACAATGCAAAGTTAATTCACATCCCTGCTTTCCCACTTCATCTGTGACCAGCCACCCACATGGCGTTTTCTCTCTCTGTCCCTGACCACCCAGAGTTAAATCTTTACAAAACGACTGCTTGCCCAGCCCTCTTCTGTCCACCAGCCACCCAAGGCTGGGGTCTTCACAGATTAGCACTCTGTGCTTATAATCACCTACCAAATAGGCAGACACCAGACCCTGCTGGCTCTCACTGCCTGGCGGGGTTGGATAATTCTCCAGAATGACTCACAGAACTCACGGAAAAAGAGTATACACCCCTTTTAATAAAACCACCAAGAATATACACGAAGAGATGTACAGTTGAGGTCTGGAAGTAGTTTTCGGCATGGAGCTTCAGGTCTCCAGAGACTCTCAGGTCCTCTCTCTTGTATCATCAATCCGGAAGCTCAAGCTCCAAGGTCGGAAGTCCTTCATAATAGTTTGAGGGAGAAAGATGTGACAGTCTGCGTCCATAAAGACTTACAGCCTTGGAAACCCTGTGGGGCGGTTCATAGGGTTGCTGTGAGTCTGAATCGACTCAACGGCATTGGATTTGGTGTATAATAGTCACTGGGACCTCAGTATATATGCATGACTAGGGCCTTAATGCATAGTAAATGACTGAACCGAACATGCATGACTGATTCCATCATGTCTCCCTTTTTTCCTGAAGTTAGTTGGCCAGGTGAGGTCCTTGGGCTTCAACCTCATTTGCCCACTTTAAGTGTTGCCTGGCTGTTTTAGAAAAACAAAAACATCTTGGATTCTGGGGAATTCCACGGGCTATTTTCAGAAATCAGAGATAAAAGGACAAATTGTGTTCTTTGTCGCATACTTAGGTAATCAAATGGTGATGTGTTTGCTTAAAATTTTGTATTTCGGTGGCTAGGTGATAACCTATCAATATATGATAAAATATACATTTACTGACTATTAGTTGTTCTTAGAGGTTTTATGTTCCTGTGTGTGTGTGTCTGGGTGTGATTTTAAGCCCTGTTAACCCATGTTCATTTTTATAATTTATTTACAGCATGGTAAATTTATTATGCAGAACAATAAATAATAAAGTGTTGTTTAAATGAGTTATGAGAAAAATTTAATGATGAAAATAGACTTTTTCCTCTCTTTTAAAAAGTGACCCAATTAGTCAGTGGTACATGGAAGAGAAACATCTATTTCATATCCCTCTTATGATAAGTATTCATCGAAATTCATTGATACTGTGTGGATGATTTACCAAGGCTTTTTTAAACTGTTGAAAATACGCTCTAACAACCATCTGATAAAATAAAAAACTGAACAAAATGTGTACTCAGATGAATGATTGTCTGAAGGAAGAATGGTGTAAATGAATTATCAAAGTGTGAAATCATTAAAAACAGAACATGTTTGGGTTTTTAGTAAATCTTAATTGCAGGCTTATATGTTTTCTTTTGTAAGCTAAGTTAAAAGAAAATTGCCTAACTAAATTTTTGGAGACCAGTGTTGTAGGACATATATTGCACAATAATTTATTTTTTACATAAAAGTGCTGTTCATTTTTTTTTCAGCATTAACATGCGTGCTTTCCTCATGTAGGAGAATATATAAAAAACTGGAGGCCAAGATATTTCCTTTTGAAGACAGATGGCTCATTCATAGGATATAAAGAGAAACCTCAAGATGTGGATTTACCTTATCCTCTCAACAACTTTTCAGTGGCAAGTAAGTTAATTTTAATTGTTGGTTCACCTTATAGTTATTTCTTTGTATGACTTTATGTTTCACATATCTTAAGATCTATGGGAAGCCTGTGAAAAAGTTTGAGTTTGTATTTAATAGCAAAGAATTTTTCAGCTTTGATAGACTTTCAATTCCTTGTCATAGAGATTATCGATAATATGTGGTCTTATATAATGCAATATAGTTGAATATTTTTATAGTTAGAATTTGAATGTGATAAATACTCTTTCCCAAATATGTACATGTAGGTTTTCTTCATAAAATCTAAACAAAAACCTTTGAACTTGATTGCTAGATTGAACTTGGTTGTCAAACGTTGGAGCACTCAGTGCATTTCTAATCAATCTTTTATCATAGTCTTAGCTCTTCTGACTGATAGTACCATGAGAAACCAGTGTTTTACATTAGATGTTTTTTCTGGGAGATTTTGTGTTTGTAGTCAAATTCTTCTTCCTCACAAATATCTAACAAAAATGCTTGTGACTTAAGCTTATTTGGAAATTCTGTATTTGCTTGAACATAATAAAAAATAAACTGAATGATGATGATGATGACAACGATTATTATTTTTTAGGCTTTTCAAGCTGTTCAGATTTACTGATTAATCAATGAAAGGGTCTTTCTGTGTTAACTCAGAAGTAAAGCATTTTAAAAGCATGTTCAATTAAACTTGTATAAAAGCTAGAGTGTGTACCATTGAGATAAAACCATCAACTGGGTAACATCCTTAATTTTGATTTTGGTTGTATGTTGTCATCTATTAGCCACATTTAGAAAATAGTTAAGGGAAAATTTCCCCAACTGTAAAGCAAAAAAATAAAATAAAAACTACAATAAAACAACAACAACAAAAATTTAAGAAAGCAAAAGTCCTTGAATGTTATACAATTCATTTTTCCATTTTTGTCCCTAATGTTTTGTGCGGGTTAACCTTTTTCAGTAGGTTAGAATGGATAGCCTTTTTTTTTTTTTTTTAAAGAGAAACGAGACAACAATAAGGGTTTATGAAGTCATTTGAATGATAAGGATACTAACTTAAAAAAAATTTCTCTGTATCGTGGATTCTTATGCAGAGATTTTGTTTTAAATAAAATGAGACAGCTAGCATATGTATGTATTAGTTAAGGAAAGTATCTTTTTCCCCACTCAGATGCCCAAAATATATGGCTTTATTTGGGTAGAAAAAGATTTTTAAATCCTATTGTCATTTGAAATATCTTGTATTGACTTTAAGAATACATTTTCATTTTAAAGATCTTATGGGTGAACATTTGTACTACAGTGATAGAAATTAGCTTTTGAAACACCATCAGCATACGTTAGCTTTTCCTACCTAAAGCCAGTATAGTTTCTTAGTTTGTCCATTTTACTAGCAAATGCAATTGGCTTGTCTGAAATAATTTATAAAAGTACAGAACTCCTGTATCTGCTGATCAAAATGCAGCATTTTTTTGACCTTATGAAATTTCACACCCCAACAAGTTTTAAAGACATACTGTATGTCACAGTCTGCCAACATCTGCTCCAACGCTTCCACTGGCAGAGGCTGAAATAAATGCTGCACTCTTGGGGAGAGAGCCTGTTCAGTGACTGCGTCAGCCTATCGACGAAACAGATAGTGGTCTACAGCTGTAATCTTTACTTGGATGACCAAGTAGTTGCGGGCAGTTGATTCAAACTAGTAAGTGAAGCTGTAGACCAACTCCTTAGTTTTCAGCAGTGTTACTAACATCAGTCTTACACTAACACTATTTTAAATGGATTATCCTTACAGCTTGACTTAATTGCAAACTTAAACTTTGTAAGTAATGATTACCTTAGGAAAAAATGAGTCTAGTGAAATGGACATTGGGTGAAGAAATGGTTCAAATTTCAGCTTTGCCACAGTTAGGAGTATGACGTTAGCAGGTCATTCTCCCAGACTCTCTGATCTTTAGTTCCTTTACCAGCATAGTGAAAACACTTGGATTCAATGAATTTGTAAGGTCCTTTTTGTCTCTTACATTGTCTGATATTGTGAGGTGGCATTTGATCAGGTCCTTGAAGAGTGAATAGGAGTTAAGCAAATTAAAATAAAGGAGGACATTCTAGGCTGAGAGGGACAAAGAATATTTTTCTCTTACAGAGAAGGAACAATTTCAGCAAGAGGTACCTTACCAGTCAGTATTTCCCTTCTGCCTCAGCCTTCTTTAGTATATTAAAAGGAGACTGTTTGACAAGGTATTTCTAACGTGTGCTGGGAAATGTTGTATATACATATATTTCATCGATAGCTACAATTTGAGTCCCCTGTTTTTTCTGGTAATTAAAAAGTCACTTCAAATTTATATGTTTTTAATGGAAATTTACTGAAATATACTTTTTATCTATATAAAAAAAACAGAATATGAGAACTGGAATAGACTTTAGAATTGATCATTCCAATCTTCATGTAATTTCAGATTCCTTTCCTTCTGCTTAAAATTTTTCAAAAAGATTGTCTATGCATTGTCCTCATTTTACTTCTCAACCCACTGCAGTCTAGCTTCCTCTTTAGTCACTTGATTTAAATCACTTTTAATAAGTTTTACAGTGACTGCTTAATTGCTAAACCTAGTAGACATTTTTCATTTCTTATTTTCCTCGGATGTTCCTCTGGGCTGCATTTTATATTGTTGGTCACCACTTCCCATTGTGCCCTGGGGTGCCTCTCTATCCTGCTTTTGTTCCTTTGCCTATCCCATCAATTTTGGTATTTAACTGGGTTGTGGCCAAGGACTCTTTTTCACTTTGTACCCTTTCCCTGGACCAATAAGCAACATCATGATAAACGGAGAAAGGATTGAAGTTTTCAAGGATTTCATTTTACTTGGATCCACAATCAACATCCATGGAAGCAGCAGTCAAGAAATCAGATAGCATATTGCATTGGGCAAATCTGCTGCAAAAGATCTCTTAAAAGTATTAAAAAGCAAAGATGTCACCTTGAGGACTAAGGTACACCTGACTCCAAGCCACGGTATTTTCAGTCGCCTCATATGCACGCAAAAGCTAGACGATGAATAAGGAAGGCTGAAGAAGAATTGATGCCTTTAAATTATGGTGTGAGTGAAGAATCTTGAGTATACCATGGACTGCCAGAAGAATGAACAAATCTGTCTTGGAAGAAATACAGCCAGAATGCTACCTACAAGCGAGGGTAAGTGAGCCTTTGTCTCACTTAGTTTGGACATGTTATCAGGAGGGACCAGTCACTGGAAAGAGACATCATGCTTGGTAAAATAGAGGGTCCACGAAAAAGAGGAAGACCCTCAGTGAGATGAATTGACACAGTGACTGCAACAGTGGGCTCAAACATAGTAACAATTACGAGGATGGTACGGGGCCAGGCAGTGTTTCATTCTGTTGTGCGTGGGGTTGCTATCAGTTGGAAGCTACTCGACTGCACCTAACAACAGCAACAGCCCTTTCCCTGGGTGGTCACATTCACTCTCAGTGTTTTAGTTACAGCCTGTATGCAGTTTACTCCCACACCTATGTCTTCGCCAGGTGTCTCTCCTGAGCATTAGATTACTGTATTCACCTGGCTGCTGGCCAACTCTACCTAGATATTGTTTAGATTCAACTGTCCAAAGCTTTATTCAGAATAATTTTGTCTATTTCTTCTCCCATATTTAGTATCTTGGTTCTGTCTTTACATGAGCAGCAACTTGGATCCATTCCTTGACTTTTTTTTCTTCGTGTCTTTATCCCCCTCCCAATCCATTCCTGTTGTTGTTGTTAGGTGCCGTCTAGTCAATTTTCAAGTCATAGTGACCCCATGTGGCAGAGTAGAAATGCCCCGTGTGGTTTTCTAGGCTGTAATCTTTATGGGAGCAGATTGCCAGGTCTTTTTCCCATGGTGCTGTTGAGTAGGTTCAAACCACAAACCTTTGGGTTAACAGCCAAGCGCTTAACCCTTGAGCTACCAGGGCTCCATGTCTAGCCCTGCTGATTTTGCTGATTTCTGAACCTGTTACACTCTTTCCTATGATTGTTCATAGAATTGTTCCTAGAGTAAGCCCGCATCATCTCTGCTGTAGATTCCTATTAGATGCTCTGCCTCTAGTTTGTACCCGTCGTATTCTTTCTTTAAATATGGCTGAAAGTGATATTTCTAAAATTGAATTCTAACTATGCCATTCCCTGTGAAAGCCCTGCTTTGGATCTCTCTTGCCTCTTGGATGAAGTCCATCTTCCTTAGTATATCATAAAGGATCTCCTCAGTCTGGCTTCTGCTCTCAACTCTTGCTTCATGTCTCTTCTGCTCTGCAGTTATGCTTCCGCAGTACTGAAGTGTTTTCTAGTGCCTTATACAAATCACCTTCACTCCTACTAAACTTCTCATTCTTTTCCTTTATCATCTCTAGTCCTTTGATCTCTTCCGATTCTCCCAGCCTTCATTTGCTTATCTCATACTCTGTGGAATCCATGGTCAGCCTGTATTTTTCTCATCTATTTTTTCTTTCACTGTATACATTTTATCAACCCTAGTTATATAGAGTCCCTGGGGGGCGCAAGCAGTAAAGTGCCCAACTATTAGCCAAAAGGTTGGTGGTTGTAACCCATCTAAAGGTACCTCGGAAGACAGGCCTGGTGATCTGCTCCTGAAAGGTTACAGCCTTGAAAACCCTATGGAGCAGTTGTACTCTGTACACACAGGGTTGCCATGAGCTGGAATCAGTTCAGTGACAACTAGCAACAACAATATATAAACCATGCTGCTTTCCCTTCTGGGCCTTTGCCTATGCTGCTGTCTCTGGTTGGAATGTTCTGTCCCCTATTTGCCTGGATAATTTTATTTCATCCATTAAGATTAATTTCAGTTTTAAATTCCCACCCCCACTCCTTGGTAAGTTACTCCTCTCTTCACTTCACAAAGCTATTTTACGTTATCCCATTGTTTCCTGGTTGTCTTATTCCTGTGTTTATTAGTTTCCTAGGGCTGGCATAATAAATACCACAAACTAGGTG